GGTTAAAAATGTAAAATGTGCATGTACAGCTACGGAAGAGCGATACCTCCTGACACAGGCTTGATAAGCTTAATAGGAGGTACCATCCACTGTTAATGTAAAAATAATTGTATTGCAGAAATAAACATTTTTTCATTTTTTTAAAACACGGTGTTTGTGGTGAACACACGATATATTTTCTCTATTGGCTTTTTTCCTCGAAGCGTCATATCAATATATTCCTATTTACATCAGGTGCATGATTTATATTTGTAACATTCCATCTTCACCGACAATTGCAACAATCTTCATTGTTACAAGTGCATACAAAATTACCTCTTTCAAAGCTAGGTACAAGATTTCACCCAAACCTACTACGTAAGATAATAAAAGCTTGCAAAAATATATTTTTTTTTACTAAATATTAAATATAGTTTAGGCAGGTTATAAGAATTATTCATAAAAATATTACACGTAGGAAGCATTTCTCTATAATGTTGATGCTCTTGTGTATTTTGTAGATTCAATTAATACAATATTATATCCTATGCTGAGATTAATAGTAATCCCATGTACAAAGAGCTTCCACCATTTTGATTAGAAGCTTAATAACATGTTATTGTTGTTTTACTTCATGTACCTCATTTACGAGTGTGTTATGTTATTCAAATTCAAGTACTGTATTTCGGATCTTCATCCATATTGGTTAGATAACAAAGAAAAAAAACTTACACACTAATGTTAGTAATTATATCTTATAAATATGTACTGGGTTTCGTGTATACATGAAGGTTGGTCTAGTGTTCAAGGAATGAACCCTGGGAATACTGCCCTTATTATCATAACTGACGTAATCGACATTTTTAGCGAAATTGAATTATAAACATGTCTGGAATCAACGAAACGAGATCTACAACCCCATAAATGCAGTTTTTTATATCTTATTTAGTTTCCGTTTTATTGTTAAGCAAAATCAACGTAACTGAATTTTTTTTATGTGACAATCAATAATAAAACTTTAGGTGCCAATATCTCGAAAATTACCGGGACACAAAAGCGTTAGTTATAACAAGGAGTTACCGCTGCCACGCACTCAGCGCATCAAGGATGTCGCTCACTTTCTCATGATGGCGGCAAATCCATCTACATGACCGTCCGCGAACATTCTTGACGCGCTACAGAATCACGGCAGCTGCAACAGCATCCTGAATATTATATGTTATATTCATATCTTGTAGTTTTAAATTATATTGTCTATCAGTTCGCCTGTTTACCTACTTTTTGTTTTTTGTTTAAAGCTACTAATAAATTGAGAGGACTGCTAATCGCGATACAAGATAGCGTGGTCGAGTATTTAGTACCTATATTGGTACACCAGATGTCGCAACGACCACCAAATAGCTATATTTGTAACTAATTTATTTTACATTGACAATTTAACAAATCTACTCTAATTTCTAGTGATAACAAGCAAATCAACTAGACTCCCCTTTATATTATGGCGATGACGCACTAAAAACTTGTGCTTTTATAATTTAATCAGCACTTCTTCGTAAAATTTTCAATCGGTTATGTTTTAGTAACTTTTTTTTATAACATCAAGTGACGGGACGAACAAGTCGTGCGCGTGATGGTAAGCTACACGCCTGTATATAACAGTTACAATGCCACTCAGAGCTTTAACCACAAAGATCTGAGGGGCACTAGTCTGCGCCTGTCGTGGACGATCTGTTGGAGCTCTACTGCTACTAAAACTAATGTAGATAAAAAGCTTGAATTCGCAAAAGTAGCAGATAAGTAGCATATTATTAATAATACATGCTCCTGCCCAATCTGCTCCCTTCATTCTGAACAAAGTGGTCACCAGCAAGCCTGATATCAAAATGGTTGGTCAATTATTTTTTAAATTTCTAAGAATATATCAAAGGTAGTAATTACTTAGAAATGGTAACAAATAGTAGGAAACAAGTAGCAATTCTTGAATATATACTCAGAGCCAGATGTCACAGGCAACCAGCCATCCTGACGGTCACAAAATGACGGAAGGAAATGTCGCCTGAAAAAAATTCCTTCTATTTAATGCTAAAAAAAACAAAATATAGTGGATCATTTTCATGGTAGTAAAAACATTATGATAATAGAAAATAACTATAAATATAATAATAAACAGATTGACGTATTGTATTACTGCTTTTGGCAAGCTAGAGTGGAATCATTGTTATGCTGGCTTCCCACGGGCCGTGGATTCACGACTGCGCGCCATGGGAAGAGTGCCGCCCGAGCGGACACGGGCTCACATGTATGGATCTGTAGCACAAACACGCCCGTACTAGTCGGCGCGGCCCGTACAATCACGGGCCATGGGAAGCACCACCTTTTACACAATCCATGAACTTTTAAATAATGATGACAGACGACTACCTGGAGGCCTACCACAACCTCATAGAACAAAATTACTCATCGTGACGTGCTTAAAGTAAGCATATCATAAAGTTAAAACTATGATGTTTTATTGGCAACTTTGTGATTATTCATTCACTCAATTCGTACTCGACTTTTGACATTAAGGTAATATTGCTCTTATGTCAAATTTAGCAATCATAAAATAGTTATTAGGACGCAGTGGAAACAATAATATTTTCGAATTTATTGTCTAAATATTGACTGATAATGATTAAAAGTTACGTTTGTTACCCATGGCGTTACTTCATGACGACGTTGCATACCAATAGTGATTGCGAAAGACAAATGAATCATTAGTTAAATTCCCAAAAGTGCAGTGTGGAAATCAAGATGTATGAATGTAAAATTTTAGAGTTCACTCTCGCTCAATCGCGGTAGCGAAGCAGTCATATCATAATTTATTTTTAGGCAAACCTATTGTAACGTTTTTATTAATTAAATATCATAAAGGACAAAATCGCCTTTTTAAAAACCTCCTTCCGACGGCTAGTTCCGTAATTCGTTTAACTTATTTATTTACATAAATCTCTTTGATATTTTGTTTGTTTTTTTTAATTTAATAGTACATAAAAAATCATTTCTCGTTAAAAATAAGACGCGATGTTTATTTCTTAAAATTATGACAGCGCCTCTACTTGTTTTATTTATTTTTCTTCATGAAAATGCGGAAAAATAATTGAAAATGTGAATAGATTAGATTATTACATACTTTTCTTTTTTTGGCAGTTAAAATTCTCTGAATGTAAATATTACATACTGTAATATTATATACTACTATAGGACGATTCAGAACATCAAAAAAGAAAGAGATGGCATCATACCGTCATGATACAGTTCATACAGCGTTATTTCTTACTTATTGTTAGCAAGGAATAGACAATCTTGGGAAATCATTCGTTTTTTCCATCACTTTAGCAATAATACATTACTTGGTTGAAAGGTTTGTCTTGGTACGAATATGAGTAATATTATAATAAGCTTACTATAAGCTTACAATGAAATAAGATTGTTTTTTGAAAGGTTATGGTAGGCCCCTGTACCTTACAAAGAGGTACAGAAACCTTTCCAAGTCCCTTATATTAACCTGGATTCATTGTATTAACTTTTGTTTTCCTATATAACTTCTCGCAATTGAACTGTCCTTCTCCATTTCCCAGTGTTTTTATTTCGTCTCCCCAGCTTTCAAGGATTTAAAGGGATTTTCATAGAATTTCTATCGACGTGTTTTTAAAACTTTCTAATACGTTTTTACGATATTTCCTTCCATTCCTTCAATTCATTGAAAGGACTTTATTGAGCTGATAGAACTTTCAACGTAAAACCTTTTTGTATAGTGTGACAGGTGTCACGTTTGCAATTTTATTATCTTTAGACGATTTCCATTCTGAGCTTCTTTCTCCAAGATGCATTTAAATTCTCTGGTAATCTAGAACATTACAATATTTAAGTTTTCATATTTTAACAGTTGAAGCTTCACAGTATGAAACAATAACTCACATTTTTACTATAAAATAATTATAAAATGTTAGCAAATTGTATTATGAATAGTAAATCTAATTTTATGTTATGACTTCTCTATTTACCAATTACTAAATGAAATCGACGCCTCCTACGTAAAGTATCGTATGTCGGAATTGCCAAGTTTACAGGGGAGCGTTTTAAAGTTCTCCGTTTTATTCGGCAAAGCTCGTTAGGTACTCACATAGAGTGATCATCTAATACATCATCTAACCGATATCTAGGATTTTATAATACTCTATGTGAGTAACGAGTTTGCCGAATAAAACTGAAAAATGCTAAAGTCACGTGTTATGCAGCCTTTTAAAGTTCTGAATTCACTGAACTAAGGCTTCCCTGTAAACTTGATAATTTCGACATACCATAGTTTACGTAGGAGATGTCAAAATGTCATGAAACTAAATCAATACATATATTTCAATTTCCACCAAGTATTTTTAAGGTATTTCTGTATAATCCACATCCATTCGACGACCTTGGTAGCACAACGGTTTGCACTGTGAGCACTGGGTGAGAAAGTCCCGGGTTCGATTCCTGATAGGGCTAATTTTGGAAAAGAACTTTTCCAATTTGATTTTGGTCTGAGTGTGCTGGGTACTTTTTTTCTTTTTTAAAATAATAAGTGACGGAACGAACAATTCGTGCGCCTGATGGTAAGCGACATGCCTGCCCATAACAGTTGCAGTGCCACTCAGAGCTTCAAATCGCAACTGAGGGGCACTACTGCTGCGCCCGTCACACTGAGACATAAGTTGACAAGTCCCATGTGCCTGTAATTTCATCAGTATTCTCCTGAGGTGAATTCCGATCCTGGACCAGATAATTGGTGAGATTATCTGGCACATTATACTATTATACCAATAGGGCTGGCACGGCAGGGTGCGACTTGTGCGAGAGCGACATATAACGTGAATCTCTATGCGAGAATATCAGTATCCAGCGCTTTATATCCCTCTCGCGTGAGTCGCGCCTTGTAGTGCTAACCCTACACGTATAGGATTATTTTATGTTGCCTTTTAAAAGTTTAATGTTTTTTGTAGAGTGGAGCTTGAAGCATGGCTGGACAAAGCGACCTACTCCCACGGAGAGTCGATCAGCGTCAGCATTGTTGTAGCCAACCACTCTTCCAAAACTGTTAGAAGAATCAAGGTATGAATTATCAGTATTATTACACACATCTTTGAATTATTAGATTGTTATATTATACTGGGTTATTTCGTTGGTTATTTGAAAACCTGGTAACTCTGTTTTTGGATGGAATCCCTTTTTTAACCGACTTCAAAAAAACGAGAAGGTTCTCGCAGTTCGATTGTATTTTTTTTATGTAGGTATGTTACGCGATAACTCTGTGAACCGAATTTGATGATTCTATTTTTTTGTTGGAAAGAGGGTACCTCAGTATTGGTCCCATTTAAATTTGAAGAAAATATTCCACTTCTAAGGATGGCAAACTAGGGGATGAACCCGGTTTCGCGCACTTTCCGGTAACCGATTCCAACAAAACTTGGCAAATACATAGATGTAATTCCACGAACTTTTGAGATCACGAACTTTTATAAAAAAGTTCCAACTCTTCAAGCGCAATATCCGGCAATTAAAGCTTAAAATATATTTTTACACCTTTTTATAGTTATAAAATAAAGGTATAATCAGATTGTCTTTTAAAATTATTTCTAGTAATTAAATTTTTTATGCCTACTGAAAAGTTTACATTAATGGAGATATAAGGTTTATGAATTTAACCGACGATTTGTAAAATGCTAACAACCTTGCAAGACTAAGTACTAACACCAAAACAACTTTTGTTCCATTACTTTTTATAAAACATAATAAACTTTTAAATTTCTGTTGTACTATCTACACTTTTTAGATGTATATTCGGTAGTAAGCTCAAACGTCCTGCCGTCCTCTCCGTTGACCCCCACCCCGCTCCTGCTTTGCATCGGACTTTCTTTAAAGCGATCTATTTAGAAAGAAGGAAAGAAAACTGTTTATTACAAAGCACAGACGCGCATATAAACAAAACAACGGAAGAACAATAATAATAATTCAAAATTAATCTTTTAGGTCCTCAGAGAAGCGAGAGTCTAAAGTAAATAATGACATAATAATACCTAATAATAATAAAAGCATTTAAAAAAATTAGAACAATTGATACTGATTACTGAATTAAAACAATTGATAATGCAGTATCTAATTCACCGTCATGCGTGTCGCGGCTGGTGCAATCGGGACTTGCTCAGCTTTAGCCACATCACGCTTTTTTTTTTTTTCTTAAATCGTTTCGTGGTGCTGATTTTCAGCAAGCCTGGGCGAGTGAGCCACTGACAACAACACAGAACTCAACAATAAATAAATAAACAGATAAGACTTAAAAAATATATATTTTTGTACGAAAGTAAAAATTGATAAATTATTAAAAGTCATGGAACAAAGTTGTTGTATATGATGTTAGCCCTTTTGAGGTTCTTAGTATTTTACAAATAACCCTGGAGAAGCAAGATTGTCGACTCGGCTTTGTAAAGGAAAAACAAGTTCAGTGAAAAAAGCATACCTGAAATGATCGAAAGGAAAGTGTCCCAATGGGACTTCCGAATGACTACTGAAGCGAAGAAAGCAACAATATTTTAATGGCTTGAAGTGGCGCAGAAAAGGACCGAGTGCTTTCGTTTCCGAAGGCCACGATACCCTATTGATCGTTAAGTCGGGGTGGTGACTTAGTTTACGTTGTAGCTTGGACTAATGAAATTAATTACGTTTTTAACCGACTTCAAAAAAAGACTGTTTTTGTGTGTATATTACGCGATTAGGTACTCCGACATTCCTGAACCGATATCGAAGTTTCTTTTTTGTTGGAAAGGGGATACCTCTGTAATGGTCTCATTCAAATTTCAAGAAAATATTCTATCTCTAAGGGTGGTAAAATAAATCCGGTTTATTGGATTGCACCCACTGCTAATCGATTTCAAAGAAACTTGGCGAATAATAATAATAATAATAAAATTTTATTTATTGAGACAACTGAGATCCAATCAAATGTTAGTAGGTACAGACTTAAAACTATAGACTTAAAACTATATAAATGTAATTCCCTAATCGTCATTGACTTACAAATAAATAGACGACGGGTCTAATACAAAAACCACGAAAAAAATGTCCCAAGTCAACCTATTTAACTAAAAAAATAATGACATGTCAAGGAATATGAAAAAGCTAAAACGTTGAATTTAAATTGTAATGTCATCGCAGTACTGTCTAATTTTGCTTGCTTCGCTGTCAGTCGAACAAACGAAGACTAGAGCGTGATAGACGCTCTGTATACGATTTTAACGCCCTATAAGTTCGGACACTTTTTAGCGTGGACCCGACGTCCATATAATTGTAAGTCAACGCTAATCGTTAACAAACTTTGACATTACATTACTTACATTATTACATTTTTTTAGTAGCAGTAGAGCTCCTTGATCGTTATGTGACGTACTAATAAAAATGAAATATGTTCTTCAAGTTTAACTGCTGACATATCCCCTTTCCAACAATAAAAAGAATGTTCGAAATCTATCCACAAATATCGTAGTAATAAAAAAATACGAACTTATACTTTAGTGGGATAATGTTGGCTGAAAAATTAAAACACATTTAGATAACACCAAAAATCAGTCAATCAATCTTGAATTATCGACATTTGCCATGTTTTATTTCTGTCCCAGTAGGTACAGTTATGTAAATCAATAAGTAGAGTCATTATAAATCACTAGAACTTGAAATGAACGAGAATATTGATAATGCAAAAGTCCTATTAAACCGTACCTGGTCGTACGAAGGCTTCCAAGTACAACAAATAACAACAAAAAAGTAATTTGAACAACAAACAATAATTCCTGCTCAGTGATTTTTCTGCATTGATTCCGCTTCACGAAAATGAATATCAAATGAATCCTTTACTCGTTTCGTACCTGAAAGAAAATTAAATCACGGAATAATACTTAGTAATTTATTATTCGTGTAGGAGAATTAATAATATTTTAAAGCAAAATACTTTCATTATACAACTTTAGAGAAAACGAATTGTCTTTAAATCGTATTACTAGAATTATTAGCGTTTATGAATACAAACATGAATATCTCTACTTTCTTACGCCTCACTGCATTCCACATTGACTCTTACCTAAAGCGGATTGAAAGTTAAATCTTTTGATTATTTTTACAGCCGTTTGTATGTTTGAAAAACTCGAAGACCTTCTATGTTGTTCATGAACATGAATTAGCTATAACAGTTTGAATATTTTACCATTTATTTGTACTGATTTTGATGTGTTGTCTCTAGACGCTGGTAGTGCAGCACGTAGACGTGTGCATGTTCTCCAATGGAAAATTCAAGAACGTCGTGGCAATGGTGAGAGGCAACGACGTTGTCATACCGGGCCAGACTTTTACTGACACCTACACGTTGACTCCCCATAGAGGTAAGTTTTTGCTATTTATGTAGTTATCTCTCTAATCAAATACCTGATGTGTTGTAACAAATAAAATCACTAAACATAAAATTTGTCTTCAGGAGTAACAAAAAACTGGATAGCTCTGGAGGACTCATACTCAAAAACCGGAGCAAGTCTTGCTTCAACAGTGATTTGCAATACCAATTCACCCGAAGACCGTAATGTGTTCGCCATTTACGTATCTTACTACGTCAAAGTGAAATTAACCCTTAGCGCTATGGGTGGGGACGTGTCATTGAAACTACCATTTATTTTGACACATTCATGCATCAACGAAGCACCAACCGACAGTGTAATAGAAGAAGCAACACCGAAAATGATTCTAGAAGGTAAAGAAAATAGTGAGGATGATGATAGCAAAGGTGAAGATGGAGATAAACAGAATAATAACAGAGATGAAGAAAATCAGAAAACTGCATTTGGTGATGACACAGAGGTGAAATCTCCAGATAACCATCGCTGTATTGCTGATGTACTTGTCAATGTAGAGAATAAAATAGATCGACCGAAGAAGTTTGAAGGACAAACTGAAGTGCGCAATGTGAAGCCTAACGAAGAAGAATTGGATCTGATAGTGAAATACCCAGGTTCTGATACGTGATCCGACGACGAGACAGGTGATACAGGACAGGAGGGCAAAAAGACTGAACCAGCAGTGGAAGTTAAAGATGAAGTAGTAAAATCTTGCAAATCAGAGGTCCAAATTCATAAAAGTGGTTTCGCTGAGAATCTGAGAAGAGCTGTTTGTTGTATTGATAGGCGACGACACTCATAACTTCTTCTCTCTGTATATAATTGTATTTAATTTAATTATCATTAGGTTCAAATATACATTTGCGATCGCTATTTATATTTTGTTAAATTGCGATCCCATACTTTGTTTTGTAAATCATACTATACTTGATTTAGTTCCGTAAGTATAATGTATAAATAAGTTAACTGGAAAGTTTTTAGATGTGATGTACAGTATCGCCAGTTGTATTCATGAAATGTATTTTCCTAAGCTTAGCATTATCAGACGCTGGAACGGTCCTTGGCTTAGTAACCAAAACAGATTAACCATTGAATTTCATCTTGAGTTACCTTTCATTGCTACGGCTAATTATTTTAATAATAAAAGCAACAACTTCGGTTTTCTTTCTCTTTATCTCTTGCCGAAAATTGCTTAATTCTAATCAAATAAATCAATTCAGCCTTCGACACATTTGAGTCCAGATAATTTGTGTCACTTGTCAATCCAATATATTTACCACAAGCGTATTGTTAGTTGTAAATACTACCTAGCGATTGCTAGCTGATCGAATTTCCTTATATTATCACTACTAATAAGTAGCAAAAACGCCAATGGCATTGAAAGAAATATATTCTTCAAATAAAAAAATGCTATCAAATCTAAATGTAAAAGAATTGCGCAGTCTCTAGTCAATAAACGTAAGTGTATAATTAGTAAAATAATATTTAATTAGTGTATATATCGGAACAATATTACCGTAAGATTTGCCGGTTGGGCATTGGCAGATTAACACGAATTAAGTTCATACGGTTTGGTCTAGGACACAATTTTTTTTAAGAGAAATTTGTTGAAAAAGTATGTCATCATCACCCTATCGCTTGTCACGTCCATGTGCTGTTAGCGTCTTTTCGCAGATCGTCATTTCATCTGGCCAGAGGGCATCCTACACTATATTTGGCATTCCGTGGCCTCCACTCAAGAACTCGTTTCCCCATCGGTTATCAGTTCTTGGACAGATACGGCCAGCCCACTACCATTTCAGCTTTTTTATTCTACTTAGCTATATCGACGACGTTGGTTCCTTGTCGGATAACGTCATTACGAATCTTATCCTTCAGAGAAAGTCCGTACAAAGCTCGTTCCATGCCTCGCTGAACGACTTTTAACTGGTGGACTAACCGTATCGTTTGTTTTCATCTTGGCTTCTTATGTCATAACAGGTATTCTCTAATTATTGAACACACGAGTACAGTTATTAGAGTTTCTTGATTTAACTTCCATCGCGTGAAATGCAAAACATTGTTGTGTGTGTAATACACTATGTGAAATAGGCGCACTAATTTTATATTGCAGCGGGCAGATGTTTTTTCATGAAGTGACTCTCTAATTTGAAATATTGCAGTCAGTTCTAAGTAGTATAACGCATTACACTTGCACCTTTGTCTATAATTGACAAACAGATGTAAAAACTGAAAATATTGTGCCGGAGTACATGTACAAGGCTTTTCTTTTTAAGAATTTGGTAAACTTCGTGTCTTTAGTTGCATCGTTAACTCTTTGTAATAATAAGTTAATATACACTAATAAAGAAGACGAAAATAAACTCGAAAATGCTTATAGTATAAATAATTGTAACAAGTTTAGTATCATAGGTCTTTTTAAAAATGACATCGTTAATAAAATCACGATGAAGCGTTATGTCTGCCACTGGCCATCGGTTTCTAAGCCTGAATGGATATTACGCTTACTAAATCGTAGTCAGTGTTAGTACTTAGATATTATTCCGTGGATTTTATTAATATTATCAATTAAAGAATATTTTATCAACAGTAAACGTATGATATAAGCGGTGAGCGATTGATAGCGCGTCGATAACAATTGCATTTGCCTCGTTGATATCCCGTATCGATATTTGCAAAATAATTTAATTGTGTTAATATAATAAAAAATGTGATTAATTCTTTTATTTTCCCTTCACCCAATATAAAGCGAGTATTACTTAAGTCACTGTCAACTGCCTCCGTGGCCGAACTGCTCCGCAGAGATCTCAGGTTCGTTCCCGGGCCGGGAGAAATATTTATATGGCCTAGATGTATTTATCTCGTGAGTTTAGGTGTGATTTGTGGTTGTCTATGTGTGTGTCCATGGCACCCGTAGCACAGGGTTTCCCTAATACGGAGCTATGAGTTGAGTGTTTGCGTTATTATTATTATTAAAAGTCATTACGAAAAGGAACAACTTTTGTTTTGTGACTCTGAAAATTTCAGAAACAAGCTTTATTATATTATCATTATTATATACCTACAGATTTGTGAGAATTAATAAGCCTTGATTTTTTTTCACAAAGTACTGAAAACGTGCCGCATTTCAAATGTGATTTTAGGAAAAACCTTTATATCTCTTTTGTACGGCAATACGATATTGAAACGTCCCAATAGGTTAAGAATATCACGTGACAGGAATACATAAACTCGTTTGCAATAAAATTCAGCAGGTTTTCGTAAAAACATTTCATCTTACTGGTATTTAAAAATCACACGAATAGCAGTCTTTACACAGTCACTCTAGGGGAAATAACACATTGCACGTGTGTATGGATTTGTAGGCAGCCTAAACATTCTTTTCACAGAATAATCGTCTCACCAACAAAATGCCCGTGACAACGTTTTCGAGTTTCTCGATTGTCAGTCTTCGTTACTTCACTTTACGTCAAAATTTTATTCATACTACTTGCGTGCTACCGCTTTCGTACAATATTTTACGTAGACTTCACCTTTACTACTCGATGAGGATACGAAGGCAAACTTCAAAGTTTGTGCTATGAAATTTTAGTACCAAATAGACTCACGGCGGCGCTGTTCAAAATGTCATGCAAATTGTCTCGATGACAATACGATAACATTACTACTCGATTTTAAAAAAGCCTGCACGCTCAATCGTGCGCGATTATATAAGCTAGCGTTCTTTCACGCGCGATTGCTCGTTGTCGTTTTTGTTACAACGCAAAAGCGTCCGTGCAAAGACTAATAGCACAGGATAGACCGCGTGAAACTGGCGCGTGTTAAAGTGCACGATTGTGCGCGCGACTGGTGAGACCAATCGCGCGGTCTTTCCCTTTTCCTTCCAACGTCATTACACGCGCCCGCAATCGCGCACGATTGCTGTATCACGCGCGATAGAGTGTCTGTGCAAGACCCGCTATTGGATATTCGCAAAATCCTTTGACTGCCTAGGTTATATACACGTAACAAATTTTACTCAGCAAAAACATGCGAGTTATTATGTTTTCGAATTATTACACATGGGATATGAAAGTTTCAGATCTAAATAGTTAGTTTGTTTGGAAAAACAAACGGTTGCCACTTGGTCCGAATAAATATTTTTTCGAAAACATTCTTTTATTTATTCTATGCATAATTAAAAATCAATCAAATCATATTGAACACCACAAGTTATACAATTTCATACATATGTAATTAAATTTGTTTCATATGGTTCGTAGTATTTTTCCGACTTTCTTGGATAAAAGCGATTTTAAATTTTATTATAATGTAATAAAGTATAAAGTGATACACTGTAGTACATTGACAGTAGTAACGAAACGAGTGCTCAACCATTATAAATTATAAATAACAAATTGAACGTTTATAGTCTATTTACCCTAGATAATAATAATAGTTTTGATAAACTACTTATTGCATTTCAATTGTAAATACCAGCACGCAGCCGCACAAATATGGATGTAAAAAGAAGAAAACCTTAATAGGGAAAGTTAAATTATAAAAATTATGATAATAATTTTGCATGGTACGCTTTATAACCTTGGTTTTCCATCAAAAGATGCCGTCGTCTACATCAAACGAAGACGAAGTATCGAAGCATTGTACCTGCTGGGTATATAATACTTAATTTAATATTTTTTAGACAATAAAATACAAATAGCCGCTTCAAGTAGCCGACCCGCCACTATGAAACATGATCGGCGCAATCTACTAAGGGAAAAAGTAACGTGTGCCAGTCTCCGAAGTTGTAAAACCACAGAGGCAGATGGACCGGTGCGACGAGGACGGCTTTACAAAAGTGGAGAAGAAGAAGAAGAGGAAGCCCACCAGCCGTAAACAATGTGGCACAGCACCGACAGGACCGAACTTCCTGCTGTGTCCGGCTATACCGACAACGCTGCTGTACCTGTCGCGGCTGCATTACTCCACGAAGTCTGAGGAGATAGTGGAGTATATCAGACATAAAGCCAAATACACCCTGATGGTCGAGCGGTTGGAGTCCCGCCACAACGTAAATTTCAATTCGTTTGTGGTGAGAGTATCGACCGAACATCTGTCGACCTTCATGAAGAAAGAATTTTGGCCGAAGGGTGTCTTATATCGGCGGTTCCGCGGCCGGTACACCAGATATAGAGAGGTGTAGGGTACACCAGATTGCGCCACACGTGCAATTCGTGTAGATTAGTTACAAATAGTGTTTTATTATACTGTATGTATGTTAGTCTTTAAGGTGTATATTATATGGGTCATGTCACCTCAAATAAATAAAAATAAAAAATAAAATAAAGTACAATAAAAGCTTAGAGCGCGAAACACACAGGGAGCGAGTGCTGATCGGGTCGGGAGCGCGTCGGGTTTGATTCTGTATATCGACCGTCGTCATCGTCCATATAAATACACGCGACCGCGCCCGACCCGCACCCGCTTTGATTCACGCTTAAATACTAGAAACTGCAAACCGTATCTTAGGGGCCCTACCACCGCGCCCGTCACCCTGATGTCTCAGTTGATAAGTCCCATGTGCCTGTAATTTCACCAGCACCCTTACCCTTCAAAACCGGAAAGCATTGATGCTTACATTACTGC